AGATTTCTGAAGAAGGGTCTGGGCCCGAAACGTCAGCCTTCCTGCTCCTCTGATGCTGCTTGGCCTGCTGTGTTCATCCAGCTCTACACCTTGTTATCTCATTTCCAGTTTTGTTCTGTATAGGTTTGCATATATGTTTGTTAATTGCATTATGAGTTAAGAACCGTGCCTCTAGGAATTCCTGTGCATGTCTCTGTTTGGCTTGGGTTACTATGGTTACATTGTCCCAGTTAAACTGATGGCTTTCCTTGTCCAAGTGTACTGATATTAAAGGAAAGTTCATCATGTCTTTTTGCTGATAGCTGATGTTCGTGTATTCTGATGGCTAGTTTCCTTCCTGTCTGTCCGATGTAACATTTATGGCAGTCGTTGCATGGTATTTTGTAAACTACGTTGGTTCTGCATGTTGTGGGAATGTGCGACTTAATCCTTGTGAGTTTTGTCGTAGTGTGGCTGTGGACTTGAGTGCTACCATGATTCCTTGTGGTCGTAGGAGTCTCGTTGTCAGTTCTGATATGTTCTTGATGTAGAGCAGTGTGGCCAGTGTGTAAGGGCGCACTGTGTCCTCTTGTTTATTTAGTAGGCACCTGTGGATAAAGTTGCAGGGATATCTGTTCAAAGCGAAGATTTTGTATAGATACTCTTCCTCTTTCCTGCATAGTTCTGGCATGTTGCAGTGAGTGGTGCCCGTTTAAATAGAGTCCTAATACAGCTTTATTTGTGGACATTGGGGTGGTTGCTGTGAAGCTGAGGATTTGGTCAGTGTGGGTTGCTTTCCTGTATTTGAGATTTGGAACTCCCCGTTGGTCATACATTCAACTCTGACATCCAGAAATGGAATTGATTGTTGTTTTCTTCTTCTCCCGTGAATTTAATCCCAGAAAATATGTTAATGATGAGGTGCTGGGTCTCTTCTAGCTTAGTGCATTTAATAATGAAAAACGCGTCGTCCAGATACTGGATCCACAGTTTAGGATGAGTGCAGGAGAGGGTAGTGTGTTCTAGTCTTTGCATGACTGCCTCTGCGATGAGTCCTGAGATGGGTGACCACATGGGTGTGCCATTGATCTGTTTGCATACTTGACCATTAAAGACAAAGTTTTGTGGTAAGGCACAAGTCTAGGAGTTTGAGTAAAAACCAAAAGAACTGCGGATGCTGTAAATCAGGAACAAAAACAAAAGTTGCTGGAAAAGCTCAGCAGGTCTGGCAGCATCTGTGGAGGAGAAAACAGAGTTAACGTTTCGGGTCCGATGTTCTGAGGAAGGGTCACCGGACCCGAAACGTTAACTCTGTTTTCTCCACAGATGCTGCCACACCTGCTGAGCTTTTCCAGCAACTTTGTTTTTGTTAGTAGTTTGAGTATGTTGTCATTGCTGATGGAGTTGCTGGTCTGCATTCCTGCTTCCTCTACTAATGTGGCCAGTGTTCTTTGGCTAGTGGAATGTCAATTGACGTGAATAATGCAACATCGTTTTATCGGAGGCCTCACTGATGTTACCTAGGAAGGTGACGAAACGTCTGAATGAAAACAGGCCAGCTCGGCAAGCAAGTCAACAACCTCAATAAGGGGAAAAGTCCTACTTGCCCTCACCATCATCATCCTTTCTGCCACAGGTACAACTGTAAATGGCAGCATTTGTGGAGTCCTTGTGAAGACACCATATTACTTTCTCACTGAGGATACCCTCCATCATATCGTGTGACAGTAACAATATACTAAATCACATAAATTCAGATCAGATCTAGCAATTCAATACTCGGCATCCACAAGATGCTACAAGCCATCAGCAATCTGCAACATCATGGCCAGGCATATCCCTCAATCCAATATTACCGTCTAGCTAGGGGATTAAACCTCGTTCATTGAGAAGAGCAGGAGAGCATGCCAGGAGCAGCACCAGGCATACTTAAAATTGAGGTACCAACCTGGTAAGGTTACAATGCAGGACTGCATGCAAGCTGAACAGTAGAAGTGG